TTTGTGGGTACTGAGATGTGCCTGGAGTCTGCCAAACCAGCACTTAACTGAAATCACAATTCATCTGAGAAGCTTATTCTGTCAAAGTCATTATTTTCTCAAATATTCTCAAACTTCTCAAGTCAGGGCATGGATAGCTGGAGATACAAGCTTCTTGAAGAACAGACTTATCTCTTTTTTTCTTTCCCTTCTAGGTAAAACAAAATATTGTTATTGTTTCACATTATGCATTACTCAAAGCATAATTTAGTCAAATCCCATTGTGTGTGCACACACATGCTGTCCAGCCTCAATTCTAAGATATAAAATGTGGTATTATTTTTTATTCTCATCCATTTACTTGTTATATCTGTTTCCAATCTATTAAATTAGAACTCAGTGTTCTCAAATGATGGAAGTGATGATATAATCCTACAGACCAAAGTCTTTCTGTTCTGGTACAGGAGCACATATCAATCCATGACAGTAAGCTAAAAGGTTCAAGAAACAGTGATGCAAAATACTGAGTACTAACTGCTTAATGACAAAGACTAACTGGTATACTTTTATGAATTCTTTTTAGAAACTGGCCACCAGGTCTGTGGTCTACAGACTGTAGTCTGTGGATTAACTTCAGTTTTTCCATTTATTTTATAAGTTCCAGCAACTGAGTTTGATGTAGCTGTAAAGAAAAAAAGAACAAGGAAAAAAAGAGAAGAAACAAAAAATAAATAAATGAGAAAAAAGAAAAGAACAAGAAGAAAGAATGAGAAAAAAGAATATAACGAGAAGAGCTCCTTACCTATCCGTTCTTCTTGTTCAAAACCAGAAGACTGTGCATTATCCATAACATTAAGGTGGATTTGGCTGAGATGTAACATTAGGTTTTTAATTTGTACGAAACCATGTTTAATGCTGAGCCACTTTCTCATATGTGGTTTTCGCATAATTCTATAATTTTCTCTATTAACCCCTCACCTTATCAGTCACTCAATTCATTTGTCTGTTTTATTTCTCTTGTAGAGCTGCATTTTCAAATCATCAATTAAAAGCTCAAGTATCAATAGTTAATAGTCCATGTAATGATTACACCTGGCAGTAATAAAATTCTTCAAGTTAGCAACTAATCAAATGAACAGTGAGAATTACTCTATTGGCTGTAACCAATAATAAAACATCTGCAAAACCCAGAGGCAAATACATTGCAATTTAGAATAATCCATCCTAAACCCTGACCACTGAGCTTTCAAATTATAGCCTCACAGATTTCTACTTGTGCATTTTTCTTCATGGAATAATTAGTTTTGCTTTGTTTTCTGGTGTATATCTAATTCTTTAACTTCCACAAAGCTTAGTACTATATTCAGATACACATTTTTGTGGTGGGGTCGAGTGGGAACTTATATATATACGGTTTATAAAAGAAATCTTGACCTCCATAGCATGATGTCAAGGACAAGTACTGCTGTATATAAAAAGCAAGCTGGTATAAGCACATTTTTCTTTAAAACATTATAGCAGCTATTAAAAGTGGTTCTTACGATGGAAGATGCTGGAGCTTGAAAGTAATACTTCTATTTACTTCTTTTTGTTCTGTTCTTGAGCTGCAATGTTTTATTTCATATGCACTGTTCAGAGTAATCCCAGCATAGAATGGAAAAAACATGTTAGCTGCTTAATTTTTAAGATAGTTTTAATCAGGTAATTACAAGAAAAAACATTAAAACAATTTTTATGGTGTTATCTGCTATGTCAACTTACAAGGATATGATGTAACAAACCAGTTACAAACTTAAAGACATATTTACATTATATACTCAAAGTAACAAGCTATATTCATAAAGGAAACACCTATGGGATGAGTTACCTAAATTATACATCAATTACTAGAAACAAATAGCAGTTGAGGTTTAATGGAAACAATATACACATGAGGCACTTTGAGGTCATTAGGGTGGAAAGCAAATGGCACCAAGCAAAAGAAGGAAAACCATGTACAGCTTATACTGCAGCTTTGAACATGAAGGCTGCTTCTTCACCAAATGTTTGATTTCTTTAACGAACCACAACTTTTGCAATTAAGAGAGAGAAACCTTCAGGGAAGAAAACCCCCAAAATGAAACCCAAACAAGCCCCCCAACCCCTCTTTTTTTTCATCAGTGCACCAAAGGAAACAGAAGTTTTATCCACTGCTGGACTAACAGTACCATAAGGCATCTTTTAAAGTTCTTGTTTTCATTGCCAGCCCTGAGCCTGATCATTTTACTAATAAGAATGTATAGCTGTACTGGCTGCACACTGTGCCATAAGCTCAGAGAAGATTTAAAGTCTCATTTAAACCTGGGCATTATTTACATAGGAGTTCAACATTATCCTCCAGGTACACATGGACAGATCATTCTGAAGAGAACTCATCCAAAATGGGAATGTTATATTCCAACAACCACAATTAAGGCATTCTTCAAAATACCTTTCCTTCTCTAGAGGAAACTGCATTGGTTAAGACTGTTTGGAACATCCCTTCCTTAAGCTCTGGAAGAGTTTTATGCCAGCATTTGCTGCTGTTTACCAAATAGTTACCATAATAATTGTAGGATATTATCAAGTATTGCTTTAACTGTGCACACAACTGTAGATATACTTTTCACAGCTACTGAATTGCATATGTGAGTGCACGCACCCACCTGTGCATACTCAAAACTTGATTTATATCACAAACCAAAAAGCCAGATTCCCTCCATGTGAACATCAAAGCTCCATCACTTTGCTGTGGGAAGAACTTCAAGAGGGGAAATAGATTAAATAAGAATAAAAAAAATATTTCTTATAAACTCAGTGACAGAATCAAAAGAATTTTAATTTCATTTCTGATTTTTATGCTCCTGTGTAACAGGCCATTGTAACTATTTTAAACCTAACAAAATATATGGTTAAAGGATTTGTACTTCAGTGTTAATAATGGCACTTAAGAAGCATGATGAGATAAGAAATCACAGTAAGATTCCAAATTACAATCCTGTAAATTCATAACTAAAGCGTAACATATTTGTGTAACTTAATCGTGCACCAAAGGCCAGTTAAATGACGATTTAATCCAATACCGCGCCTGAACGTCACTTTTCCTCCAGTAGATGGTGCACGAGTGCTGCTGTCATTTAACTTCTTTCCGCACTTTCAAGGGGAAATACTTAATTTTCACGGTAATCGAGGCTTTCAACAAGCGAGGGACTTAATATTCAAGTGACGGTTTCCAAAGGCTCGGGTCCCCTCCAAGCAGCACAAAGCTCTGCTACTACATGGCTGACAAACTACAGCTCTGACATTAAAAGCAAGGGGAAGAGTATGGATTGGGGAAGAAATTTCTCTTTCCAAATGCTTAAGAAAGTATTTCAGAAGAGACAGGATAAATGTAACATGCCACCAAAACCAAAAGATACGCAGATGTAGCAGCCTGTTCTGGAATGGGTTTGCCATATGTCCACCTTCCACTACTTCTCTCCCAAATACAACAGTGGGTAAGATTCTTAACACCAGAAGAAAAGGTACACATGCAGGCTACTAAAACCAACCCTTCTGTAATCTTGTAGCTTTGCGTTCAGTTAGTTGCTCTCAAACCAGGCATGCAGGCTGACACTTTCAGCACAAGAACAAGTGAGCATATGTCCGTTCAGTAACTCTTTTTTAGATGAAGCAATTCTTCAAAGAGAAAAGCAAAAGGTGAAAACATTTTAGCAGCAAAGTGGTTAAATGCAAGGTAAAAATATTAATGCACACATTCAATAAAAATATTAAAGCATATATGTTTCATATAAAATACAGTACAGGACCAGGAGTTTCACTGTGTTGTATAGTGCTCAGAGGAAACTGTTAAACTAATTTCTTTCTGAAGTATATACATAATACGATTATATAGTATTTTTCTATACAGCCAGCAAGTTCTTTTCTTAGGTTGTTCATACCTCTCCACCTTGAATGAGGAACCCAGCATTCAGAAATTATAAATTCCTCTCATTCACTAGGAAAACATCACCTTTTTTTTAATGAAAGTTGTTTTTAAAGTTAACAGTCTATTCTAGGCAACCAAGTTTAGCTGAAAATGTGTGAAGCATGAAAACCAACCAGAGTAGCAGCTTTCAAATATATAAACAGTAAAAACCAAGATTGCTGCTACCGTATCATATTCTTGGACTTGAGTCATCCAATCAACTCTCAATACAAAACTAGAAGCTCTTCTGTAACTTCTATAGTTATCAAGATATTTGTCTTCTTTTTCAATGTGAAATAATACTTTCAGATGATCTATATACACAAGGTGGCCAATTCAAGCTGTAATATAAATATAAATGTTTTCTTTCAAAAAGTATTTTACAGAGAGATAAAGTTATTTACATTTGTTCATTTTATTTCTGGGCTACAAAGGAAAATTAAGGGGACTGGTACAGGCAGAAAAAAATTACACAAAATATACTGAAAAAAATGCATAGAAGTGAGAAAAGTAAGTCATGTGCATCTTTTAAAATGACTCAATTAGGTCGTTTGTTTAATAACAAGGGTATACTGAGGAGAGTCTGTCCCACTCCAGCCAAGATGTCAAACAGGCACCTTCACTGATAAATTACGACTGTTTTTAGTGTTGTACGTCTTTAACAAGAAGTAACATGTTTGTTACTTCATAACAGAGCAAAACGCGTAATGTTTTAAAAAAATTCTCTATGGGTTAATTAGTTAATTCTTACCTGAAAGTTAAAGACTTAGTAAGTACAAAACCAGAAGAAATATCATACACAATATATCACCGTGCATATACACACATACACATGCTCTCTCACTCTCCACCACCACTCTCCCACCGCCGCCTTGAAAGTTCCCAATTAAGAAGTTCACTCAGTTTTGCCTAGGCTGTAATTTATTTCTCAAGCTCAGTCTTTTGTTGTTGTTTTTGAACAAAACACACAGTACTTTTGTTCTTGCCCATTCAAATTAGAAAAAGTTGTGGTTCAAAATAATGAGAACAATTTCACTTTTGTTATTAATCTTTTGTTTTAATCATAGTACTTGATAAACAGCTGAACAGGATCCTAGTTTAACAGAAGGATAAACAAGAACACTGATGACAATTTGTTACAACTGCCTTAATGTACCTTTTGCTTAATGAACATCTGAATATGCAAGAAAATATTTTTGGAGGACACCCCAAAAGAAAACAACTTGCTGGTTGAACAACAGAAACAATGTCCTTTTTGCTATTATGCTGAAATCAAAGTCATTTATATATAAAAATAAATGTTATGTTCTAACAAGAACATTTTAGACAATTACATCTGTGCTTAACAAAAAATATTGGTCACTTGAGACTAGAATAATTAATATTTTAAAGGTTTTTAGATTATCAGAATGTATGGATACAATTCAACACAAACTGTAGCTGAAGGGAACCAGGACTGAAAATATCAATTCGTCCATCTGGAATAAAAATGCAACTAAATTAACTAATTAAATATTTAAAATACTACCATGGAATGTGACAGTAGATATGGTCCATACCTACTATATCGGAGGGAAGGAAAGTTTAACATGTAATAATTCGTACCTTACACATTTAGTTAAATATAAACATTTGTTATTTATACATAAAGTCGCTTCCAAAAAACTATTAATAAGTGATTTAGTTGCACTTAAAATCAGTTTTATTTCTCATTTGCCAAGTATTAACTTTTCTTAATCTTAAATCAACTGTCACTAGTGCACTTTTAGTTAAAATTTCCCATCAGGTAAGTTTAATCCTTTTAAAAGAGCCCCCTCACCTAAACCATGAATGTACAAAGTGGCAAAAGTTAATCTCTTTTAGTATAATCATAGTTTATATACTCATTTTATAGCCAATAATAAGAACAGGCTTTCCTTTGCAAGATCTCCTTCACAACTCGCAACAAATGCCACGCACTCAAAGGAAATAGTTAGGCGTGGCTACCACTTGTAAAATGCCAAGGTCTGACAAGTCTTGTTGCTTCCTCCACATCAAGCATCTCTTATGTGAAAGAAGATTCCCTTCAGCTTGCCAAAAAGCTTCCACAAATCCAAGTTAGATGCTTCCTGGAAACAAAGATTTTTCAGCTCTGTTTGGCACAAGACTGATTCATCCCGCAGCTTTATGCTTTCCTCCACAGCACCCACACACCTCACCACAGTGATGGCATGCTCTCAAGGGGAGGTAGCAGCACATACATGGAGCAATGAAAGAGAGTGCCACCAGTGCTAACCAGCGTAAGCAGAACTTGTCATCACTAGTGTCACACGAGCAAGGATCAGAGAAATCTCCTTCAGAGTCTGACATGCAGTGATACAGCATGCTCTCTGCGCAAAGCATGCAACTAACTTGGTAGATACATCTTTTAATAGGATCTGGCGCATCTTGACATTTTCCTCTGCCATTATCTTCATGATTAAACCTTTCCTGGCAGTATATACAGCGGGAACGCTCACCATCCTCTTTTCTTCTTTTTGAGTTTTTAAATTTTGATGAGGAAGGCTGAGTTTTAAATACCACAGAACTCTTCGAGTCTTTCAGGGAATTCAACTTAGTTCCATCCCCACATGGGTATAAATAGTCAGATTTTTTACTGTCTGATTTAGAAAATGGTATATTTGAGTCTGCATCATCCCTCTCCAGGTCGTTCTTCCACATGTCAGGATGCCTGTAGTCTGCATAACGACGTATCAAAATGTCACGAGGGTTTATCCTAACAATTTCATCTTCGTCCTGAAAACTAACGTGTCTGATGGACTTCAGTGGGACCTGAAATGGCAAAGTAAGAGAAGTTTACTACAGTGAAGTCTCAAATTTACATCCACCTACAATGTAAAACTCAAATTAGAAAATTAAAAAACGACACTTTTTTTCCTTGCTGCTTGACAATAAAAAAACCCAGCTTATTTTCTCACTATTACAATTTACAAACTTCCCCACAGTAATGAGTCTTTTGCATGGTATTAGGTCTATGAGCTTTAGTATTCTTTCGTGACTTTTCAATACCTTGTAAGAGCTTTGAACATTTTGCTATCCACACAAAACTTGATGCTGCTCTTTGAATTATGCTCAAAATTAGGGTGTTAACATCTTTCGGTGGAAACTAACTCCACAGATTAATTATGCCTTATGTGAACGTGCTGATTTCACATCAGCGATGATCTGCTGCTTTAGGACTAACTCCCTGATACATTCACTTTTGTATTATCTAGGAGAAGCTTTCCTTTATTCCTGTCTTAAATTTTTGAACTCTCTCCATTTTATAACAAGAGTACTCAATATTTGTTACTTATTCTCAAAGCTGCATTCTAAATGAGGATTTTATCATGTGAAGAATAATATTCAGTATGATGATCCATCAGCTTCTAAAGACATTTCCCCTTAGCCAATTACAGTACTTAAATTACTACAATTACAGTACTTAAATTCATTAGTTTAGGACACTAGCAAACACCTAAGTACTTCCTAAATTCTCAGCTTGTAATAAACTGACTATAATTCAAGACTTTAAAAGGCAGGTAAGAAGGAACGTGCTAAACATGCACAAAACAAACAGTAGAGAAATAAGAGCGAGTTCTTGTTCTGCCTTACAATGAGAGGGCATGGGGACATAGAAAAGTTGTCAAAGGTGGCAAAATTCATAGAATCATCTGAACTGAAATACTGAAGACCTCAGATAAAAGTGTAAGATAGTGGACTGCCACTAAGTGTTACTGAAATCACATTACAAGTGACTTGCAAGAAAAGGTGCAAATAATGACAAGATAAAAATTTCGCATGTGTATGAAAGTAGCTCCTGAAAATAGCAGACAGTGCAAAGGTCTCAGTACGTCCCAGTATTCCTACCTTACAGACAGGCAATTATTTTCCTACACTGTAGGGCTATTATGATCAGAGACAGATTAAAAGTGGGCTTCAAGTCAAATTCCGCCTTCTCCTTCTGTCAAGTGCACAGCCTGTAAACCACCTCACAGAAAGCACCAAAAAAATCTCCACTCCCTAACCTATTAGCCTTACAAAGTCTCCAGAATCATGAATTATTTGGGAATGCATCTTTGGCACCAGTATGGTTGCTTTGGGAGCGTTTACCTTGTTAATACTCAAATTAATGAGAATTAATGTGTCACCATTCCAAAGTCGAGGACAACAGTTGAACTGCATGTTCCTAATCTGTTGCAGTGTGTGACAGAAAACTACTGAAAATGATGTTAAAACACTTCTATTTTACTTCTCACGTGCCTAAGGTCCTACTACACTGAAGTCTGCATGTCCTGGTTTTGGGATAGGAGACAGAGGAGGGAGAAGGGAAGGCAGCTGTGAAAGAGGAAGAAAGAACTTATTAAAATATGCCATCTTCTGATTATGTAAGAATATCTATAGCCTGCTCTAACCATCACTTCCCTGCTCAACAATCCTTGTGTGATAAGTACAGAACTGTAATTAGAACTGCTTTGCCCTGAGACTCTCAACTGGAATATGCTAACAATAATAATGTTTTTTTTTCCCGTGGCTCTAAGCCACATAGTTGGACTTCCACAAGGTCTCAAGGATATAAGAAGAAGAAAGGTTATATCCTATTTAGCTAACATTGCTCCTCTTCCATACTTCCCCTGGCTCCTATACAAGCAGTCAGGCTTCCTCTTTGCTTATAAAAGCAGAGTTCTTCTCAACTCTACTCTGTTTTCAAACAAGAGGAAGAGTATTGTTTAGCACCAGTAAATAGCTATGGCTAATTGGCTTTCTTGAGCACTTTACAGCATAAATTTATTTAAAGGGAAAAGCAGCAAAAATGTCATTAGAATCCCATATGTTACAGGCATAAAGGATCCTTACCCCACTGTCCACACAGAATATTACGCACACATTTAAGACATTAAATAAAACCCATTGTTTAAAGGAAAAAACCCTAAAACCTCAAACAAAAAAACCCACCCTCAGCCTCCCATTCCCCAGACAGCTAATAGCCATTAAAGATCACTACAAATGCTAACAACTGTAAAATCTGACCTCTCCTCAGCCTTTGAAGGCTTTTTATTTGCTTGAGCAGAACACATCATATACATAGAACTCATTTAATTTTTTCAAGTCCCCAGACCAACACCTAAAAATAGTTAATAACTGACATGTTACAAACAATGCACCGCTACACATTCTTTATACAACTGATGTTGAGAAGTATTTCTTTAAGAAAGAAAGTGGGAAATGGTGAAAAACAAGCAAACTGGAGAAATGTTGGAAAAGCTTTATTTAAATGAAGTGCTTACTCGTTGGGTGTTTAATGGGACCTACATGAACACATGAAAACTTAAGAACAATACACAATTCAAATTCAGTTAAGTACAAATACCAGCAAAATTCAAAGAGAATAACAGACACAGTCCTCTAAACATTCAAAATTAAAACTCAGTATGCCATCTCTGTATGCCAGCTGAAGCAGGAAGGGAGCAGGAATATTACAGCAAACTGAAATTCTACAAAAAATCTGATTATGAACATGATTAGCCAGATGGAAATTAGAGAGAAAATTTTTGTTGACATGCCTGAACCCACAAGTATTGCACCTTATTTGAAGGGTTGCACCTTCAAGGTGACAAGGCACGGTCACTTGCTTGGTACTGTAGCCTTTGCTGTTTCTGCCCAAACAGATACACCTGTCTTTGCTGAGCTTGCAACTTCACAATATGAGGACACCAGCAGCTGAATCTATCATCGCAAAACACTAAATTTAAGTTAAACATGCATCCACGTATCAGAAGCTGAAAAGCTGAGGGACTTAAGTATTTTCTACTAATAGCCAAAGTACTACAGGTAAAGATCTGAATTGTCATTAATCACTTTAGTTTGAGCGCACACTTCTCAAGCCGTTCAACTTACGAGCACAGTAAGAGTGTTCAAACTTATTTACGTAAAATTGAAACAAAACAGGTAATTAGCTCAAGATTTGCTGGGCCACCTGGTCACATGCATGGAGTTTAGCTGAGACAGTACAGCACGTGCGTATACACAATGTGAGGTTTTGTTGACTTGCCTATATTCTAAATGTGTGTACCACAAGACCATGCAAAAAGCATGGAATAGCAGTTGCAGATGGTGACAAAATATGATAAGAATATTTTAAAGAATATCTACTTAAATTTTCATGGAATCTCTCATAACTGCAGTTTTCAATTGGAGCATTGTAATTTCAAAAAAATTACTATTTAATTTCTATTAGACAGACACAAACTACCCAGTATACCGCAGCTTAAATTATCATTTACTCAGTAGCCAATTTTATACACGCTCTTAAAACAGGTATTTTAAGCTACTGCACTTTTCTTTACAACTCAGTGAAGACTAACAGCACATACATCACTGGTTACTGTAGCTATTACATGTTAGCTGCAATAACCTAATCACCTATCCATTCTATTCTAAAAAATATTTACAATTCTATTTGCAAGTAAATGGGAAGAGGGAAAAATATGTACCTCTTAATGAACAGAACAAACAAAAATATGAGGTGACTTATACAAAGAGATAACCAGAGTAGATCAATGATTAAAAATCAGAAGTTCAAAATTTTGAGCTCTTTACTTAGTTCTCCAGATGATACTGCACACTTCTTTTGCCCAATAAAGCAGTTTAAGAGCAGCTGATACAAGACTTTAATACAATCCTATCTTTCTCTGCAAAAATGACTGAGAGTACTAAAAAGCTCTATTTCAAGGAACAGAAATATTTCTGACAAGTCTTCAAAACTACTTGAACTTGCATTCTACTTTGACTGCTGTTATTTACATATTCTAAGAGCTTCCCATGTGTTTGCTTCTTGACATAAAAGCTTCCCAGGCTTCTAGACATAAGACCCTCAAATTAATTATTATCCAACTTACTGTTAAGTCTACTTCTACAGGCTATAAAAACTGTCAAATTCTTTGAGCTTTAGAAAAAAGAAAAATGTATAGTGTTAGAGGAAAAGCTGTACCAGTGGCTGAATACTTTTTATACATAACTGATACATTCTTTTCCTTTGTGAACCAAAATAGAGTATTTTAGTTTTAATAGGCAGTTAGAGAGGATAAGCAATGTTTCACTAAAAATATTTAGCAGAAGTGCACTACTTTGCAATGCATCCAAGAAATCAGTTTTAAAGACACTTTTCAGTATTTCTAATCAAAACATTATTAGTATACGTATAACCAAGATTGAGCTCATGGCCAAATAACATTTTCTGAAAAATTTTTAACAGCTTTTCAAGGCTGCAGATACTGAAGTCTGTAATACAAAAACTGAATTCAAAGAAAATAAAGATTTATTAATGTAGTCTGGTGCAATACAAACACAGGTAAATACCTTCACAAAGCTTTATCTCTGCCATAATAATGCTATAATATTTCAGCTGCAAAGCCTATATTGGTAATTTCAGGAAGTTGAGAGTGTAATACTACACATAGGGACTTAGAACAAAGTGATTTCTTGTCAGAAACTACATACTGTGCCATTAATACAGCAAGTAAATAAGAACACCTTCTTTTATTGGTATTCTTACCTGGTTAGGTTGGTTAGGAAAACAGGCTCTCCTGGTGTTGAAATCCTCAAATGCTGAAGGCCTTAAATTCGCACTGTTGTAGGTTTCACTGGTTACTACAGTTTCATGTTGAAAAAGGTGATCTTTCATTAATGAACCTGATGTATTGTCTTGAGCAGTCTAGAACACATAAGAACTCCCTTGAAATGATTTTGCATTTATACAAAAACCACACCAAACCCACCAAGTTCACATATAAATGTGTTAATATTCTATGTAATGTGTTAGAGGCATCTAAAAATAGAAGTATTTTTAAAGCACTTAGAAGTAGGCAAGTATTTTCTTTACTGTGAGTCAGCCTTGGCAAATACAAAGTTTCATCTCTGCAGAGGGTACAACTTGGGCACTTCAGATACACACCTTCTGAACTCAGTTGCCAAATCAGACTTCTTTAAGGAAGCAGAGATTAGCCCATTCTCTGAGATTATGCTTTCTCTAACCACCCATGAGGCTGCCAGTATTTTCAAAAATACAACTGGAGAAAAAAAAACTTCTGAGACTAATAAGACAAAAGCTAGTCAGACCTTTTAATAAATTAAAAGCAAGATCAGCTGGAAAGGATCAGAAAGTCAGTTTTAACATACACTAATTAACAATATCTAATTACAGCAAGTGTGTATTAAACAACTAATGACTGACTTTTAAAGAAATTAAGGTTATATCAGGCAATTTGATACAAAAGTGAGACCATGTGGCAACATATATATCTGCAGGACCTGTGCCATTTAGAATGAAGAAGAGGAAGTATGTTTGGGTGGAATACTGGCTTGTGAGGTGATCCAGCTTCTGAAATGAATAGAAAAACAAACAGTCCTCATTCTTTAAGCTTGACTGACTGGGGTATACTTAGGATACAGCAGAGCATTTTGATACTAATGCCATTGGGCTGTCAAAAATGTACTGTAGGATGTTTTGTTTGTATTGAGAGATGCTGTAAAGTTAACTGGCTGTCATCATCTGATAGCACTGAGAAAATTCTGGCATCATCCAACTTCCAGCAATGAGAATGTTTTAGCTTTATTACAAGGACTTGTATATATCAAGAAAACATTAAGAGGAGAAGAATAAAAACACTGCAGAAAACTACTGAGGCAGAGGCAAACTGAAAGTTTTGTCAGGTTCATTTATCAAAATACTTAAGGAACTTATACTGGGATTACATTAGCACCTCATGTATGTAAAAGCCTAATGTATCAAGTTCTAAAACTATCTAGAGAAACTGGAAGTAGCAGGGCTGTAGCTGATTTTTAGGAGAAAGGAAATCATCACATCACTAAAAAATTTATGTATTGCTCAAAAGCACTGAGTGGAAAAACATTAAATTTAGTAATTAATTAATGATCAGCTTAATGAATACTAGAAAGCATACACCCCAAGAAAGATAATAGCTCACTCAATCAGGTTAAAGTTCCAATGAAAAATTTTGAAGACAAGCAAAACTTCAGAAAGAAGTACTTTTTGCAGATCCTTGAGCATGACAACAACACTAAAGCAACCGACCCTGTTATTGTCAAAATTCAATATTCTGGTCAAACACTCTTGAGAAAGGAGTATTAAAGAAATGTTGAAATGACTGGCAGTTAGACTTCATAGATGTACATTTATTTTAGGAGCAAAAAGCATCAAATATTAGTGCAATATCAAACATCTTCCTAGCAGAAGGCATTCCTGCAGGTATATTGCCCAACGACAAAAAGCTTCCAAGCAGTGGTTCAAACCACAGAAGAGCTGCATTCAAAACAAGGAATAAATGCCTACAACTAATTTTGGTTTGAGCAACGTTAAAAATTATTACAAACATTAAAGCTAACAGCTATGAGCCATTTTATAGAAACCACAGTGATAAGCACCCTGTTTCCCCCTTGCTCCCCTCCCCCTGCTATTATAAATTTGAATGGTCTTGGGAGAATGGAGCAAGCTGCAAAAACTACTACTCCTTTCTTCCCAGGGAAAAAAGATACTACCCACAAGCCAGTCTTTATCCCTGGGTGAGATTTGTAACAGCCTGCATTATTTCCTGTCCCTGCAGGTGACTGACACCTTTTTTCTTCAGCAGTAAACTACCTACACTACAAAGCAAAAAGGACACGTATGCACTCCCCTTGGCAGTCAAGAAAGGCTTCATCTAATGAAGGACACAGGCAACAATCATCTATTACAGTGCTAACTAGCAGTGCCAGACAATGATGTATGAAAAACAAATCGTACTCTTAAAGCAAACCTTTGTGCCCTACACACAGCAATTATCAAAGAATGCTTTTAGAAAATTCCAAAATGAACATCACAATTCAAGCTAAATGACTTCAAGGACAAATTTCGGGGTGGCAGGAGACAGAAAAAGGCACCTGATCTTTTGCAAGGCAAAAACTCATAAGACAGCCTTTTTGAAAGCACAATGCTCAGCTTACCAACATAGATACTACAGGTAAGCGGACACAGCTGAACTTCTGATATTTATGAAAACCAAAAAGCAATCAGGTCAATTATGATCTTCTTTAGCCAATAAATATTCACTATACAGAACAACAGAAATGCCAGATGAACATCATGAATTCTGTGTTTTTAATTAAACTGTAGTTTAGATACAGTCAAACCACGTTTATTCGTATCCAGAAAGCTTTTCATTGAACAACACTTCCTACTCCAATCTGATGTTTTATGATAAGGTCATAAACACCTGAAAACCCACATTTATAATGGAAACACTGACAATCTGAAGTAGGAGGCCCTAGAAAACAGAAAGGCTTTTGTGTTGAAAATCCATTTAAGTAAAAAGCAAACATATAAAGTATTCAACAAGAACTAAGCTTGTTATATTAAATATACAGAATATCACACACAAACACAGATGCACATATTCCCCTTTTCTACTGTCCAAAGCAATTACACCGCCCACATTTGATATCCTTTAACCACAGCCTGCAGAGTACAGTACTGGCATAGGTTATTCAGTATCATCTGTAAAGTAACCTACGCCAGTTTTTAATGCACAACGGAAATCTGGTTTGCTCCCAGCTGCTGGTATAATAATTACTGTCCTATGGTTGCTAAGAGATACTCTGATTTTTTTTCCAAGACTACTAAAACATTTCTGTGCGCACAGGCAAAAGGATGCTGGGTAAAGCAATAAAATGACTCCAGCTGTAGCTCTCCAGCAGAATTCAAAGCCAGATGACAGCTGTAGAGAAAATGAAAACCAGACTTCTTCAAATTTTCTCTCCTTACTTCTCCCAGTTTGCCAGAGTTAAGTCCGGGAGAGAATTCAACATTGTTCTGCAAACATTGTTAAAAATGTTCTGCTTTAAGTAAGTTTAATGATTACACAGAAGGATGGATGAGAGACCACATTTCCGTTGCATCCCAGTTCTTGCATTTACTTCCCATGAGGCCTGAAAATCTGCTGTTTGATGCTAACCAACACAAGAATGTTTAAATGTTTTTTCCTTAATTTTTCAATTGTGACTAGATGATACAGGTTTCAAAAACATCTGAATAACTTCCTTCTGCTTTAGTTATTTCTAAGACTGATGGAGCAGTATATTTGGCAAAGAAACTACTATTTTCAGGTATGTGTTTCTGACATGGGGTGAAATATGAACTAGATTACTCCGAATATTTTGTACAGTTTGAAGTAAAAAATAAGACATTTGACATGCTTCTTTCTTCAAAGGCTGTTCTACCTGAATATATACAGCACACTAGATGCAAAGAGGCTGTTAGGGTGAGGAAGAAAAAAATATAATTCCTCCTGTTTCTAGAATACAATTCCAACAAAAAAACTTAATAAACCCAAATATTTTAGCACAGTATATGATTAGATTTATTTTAAATTGATAATGTGAATTAGTATTACTTTTAGTTCTAGGAACTGGGCCTAGTCAATTTATTAACTGCACTAAATATTGCTAATCTTCACTGGTTTACCATGTAGTACTGTCTTCTCCGTAAAAACAAGGGTAAATTATTTCACATTTCCTCACAGGTCATAATTTATTTTAGAGAAATAATACTTAATACAAAAATAACAACTTCTTCAAACCTTTTGTTACAGACAAAATAAATTGAGTGGTCACTAAATAATGCAGTTATGAAAAGGTCTCTAAATAGTGTATTTACAAAGAGGCATATGAACTGTTAATGTCCTTCCTGACTGCACCAAAACCACTTATGATGTAAGTTGCAGGCCTTTTCCAGCTTTGTATTAGCAAAAAGCCCAACTTACTTACTTCTGAAAGAACAAGCCAAACTTTTTCTTCTGCTTATAATTTATCAGTCTACAGTTTTCTTCTGCCAGTACTAAGAAACTGAAAAGCATAAGTGATCCATTTCTTACTGCTTCAAAACTGTTAAAATGTGCTGGTAGCCTATAAATAACACCAGTATGGCTGAATCAACAAAACCTGAAAGAAATTAAGACTCAACTGCTCTATTTTTCAGTTCTCAAAAGCAAGACTTATGCACTTCAGGATCCAAAACCCACATAAAAATAATTTTAAATGCATGAGTTCTAGATTTCATTGATTAGATTTACTTCTAAGAAAAAAATATTCTGATTTTTATGGGTTTTTTTTCAGTTAAGCTAGATGAGTTTTAGAGCAAGAAGTTTATATTTGGTAGAGGAAAAGAATACAAGCCAATCTTTTAACAAACAAGCAAACTGACTTAAACAAGCTGCTCATCTACTATATTCAAAATGCATCATTTTATACCAAAACCATCCAAACTTCCTACCCAAACAAATTCCCAGTGTATATTTCCACATAAGTATATATACATTTGCAGGCTCAATTTACGAACATTTCACAAAGTCAGATACCTTTTCATTATCTCATTTGTATATTTCTATTTGAGATTAATCTGGTAAGACTAAGGCTTATTTGATGATATAAGCAATTTACATCTAATAGGTTAACTAAACAACTAATAATAATCGTAATAATTTAAGCAACCATTAGAAGCAAGTATGAAAACCTTTGATTGTATTCTTTTAATACTGAGACTAACATTATTTGTGAACTCAGAACAGCTAAAGAAACTATAATGAAGCTATGTCTTCTTAAAATGATAAATTTGATCTTCAGTAAAAAGAATGCTTTCTCTGTTTGATTTTATTTACAAAATGTAAATAAAACCCCAAAAAATCTAGTAACCCAAGATACAACATAGTAAGCCAAATGCTAGCCTAGAAAGCACAAAAGTTCAGTTTTTGGATCTGCATTTAAGAGATGCACATACAACCTTTGGACAATCACTGTTTCTGCTTGCTACTTCTATAAAGTGTAATAGTAATTATTACAAGGAGGCACTGAGGTTTCACAACACCATCACTGAGAAGATCAGTTTTGATCTTACTTGGATCATTTTATTTGCTCTCTGTAGCACCAAATAAAATAACTTAAGAAGCATGTTTAGCTTTCTTCATCACTGGTCATCTTCATTACAAAAAAATCAAAAACAATGGCAATGAAATTTATGTACAAACTACATACTATATTCATACTTCAAATATACACTAAATACAGGATTCCTGCTGACTAGAACAGTATAGGCAAAACTGCCCTTATATTCTACCCACACTCTAAAATGCCCTTGCATAGATACACTCCAAAATTTACTCAAAAATACTATTAGAGACTTGGTAAAAGAGCTTATAAAACAGCAAAACAAAAAATCATTAGGCCTTTTAAACTACACAGAGGCAAGAAGTGGGGGAGTGGAAGTCAACATGACTCTTCAAATACACAGTGCATTATCTTTAAAGAAAAATGGTCTTATCCACCAGTTAAAAACCCCCGGGGTATCGAGTTTCATTTACAACAGTATCAATCATGGAAGGGGAAGGAATTAATAATGTGAAGGAGAATGTACACTATTTGGTATTTCAAAGGTATTCTTGGTGACTAGACCTGGTGCCTGTAACTAAAATGCAGCTTTTCTACACTGACATTCATAACCCTGCAGTTACAGCTTCGTTACTGATACATAAACCTGTTAAAGCAGGGTGCGTTCAGTCTTCCTTGCACTTTTTTTTCCCCCCTCTCTTCTGGTATTGTTATTGACAGGCAATGCTAGTATCACTTATTTTACTTTGGTAGGTAGAGATATGGTAAGAGATATTGGCTAGCTTTTTTGCCTTTTGAAAGCAAGCCATTCTTGCCACTTATCCATGGCACAAATCCCCAAATGTAATGTATGAAATTACATTTTATATCCAGAATGTAAAAGATGGTTCTACCACGTAAAAGATAGTTTGTACCACATAAGATTGTTTGTACCTGTAATATATATATATTGTGTATATATATACATACACATCTGTTTTATAAAGAATATTTTTTAAATATATGTGTTTATTTTTAAAAATATATATAAAGTAAAACCTATATTTAGATACGTAAATAGGTGATGCATTTATATTCACATGTATATCGAATAGTTGTTGTAAATACACTTTTCTCCACTTTTCCAACAACAAATTTTGTAACTCTAAGGAACCACAGATATTTGCTTCAATTTTGGCATCCTTATATAGAAATATAATAACTAGGCAGCAAAATCAAGAGGCAATTCATTTGTTCTAATCTCATTAGGCCTGAAGAAATTGTTCAATAATTAATCCTTGCAACAAAGCACGTTTAAGCAAGTCTTTTAAGAGCTGATTAAGGACTGAATTAACTTTGGCACACATTTCCTCCATCCTGTAAAAATCTCATTCCTTTTTTAAATCTGAAATATCTAATATTTATAGCAATTTTACTTTCAAGTGCCTTAAAATAAAGCACTGCAAATAAAGAACAACAGGTGGTTCCATAGCCAACACTCACACAAAGAAATAAAGTTCTTCTATCATAAAACGGAAAGAAATCAGGAGATTTCTGCATTGCCACTGCATTGCAGTATCCTTTCTAAATACTTGACTCTCAGTCTACTATCGTAATTTCATTCTTACCCATATCTTCTAAGTCTGCTGCTAATTTTTTTGATTTTGTGTTGCAGAGATTCTACACTCGATCTATCTACACTGATAAAGAATTTATGCTGGCATATATGACAAAACTATTTCCCTCAAGAAACCACTTAGGAATACTATCAATTTTCTGAATAGCCACTAAGACCCCTGAATCAACTTTTTTCTTTATCAGCTTCATATTAATTTAAATATTTGCACTCTGAAAACTGAGTATGTGTGTGAATAAAGGAAAGGCTTTCCCTAAAAATGTAAATAAGAAGGAAAAGATAACAAGCATACATAGACAGGAGGAGGATTTACTCACTTATATTACAGCTTTTTACTGTGTGTGTGTATACATATATCTATCTCTATATCTATATATAGATATTCGTAATATTTGTTTATCCTGGCTTTTTAATTACATGGATTCTTGGATATTACCAGGCAGTGCTACCCACCAATGTCACAGTACTTAAGGTATATGATATGGTATTTGTGCAAAGCACTATAACTCTAAAGCATGGTTGGACATAAATTTTTACCTCTTAAGCCATTATGACCTACAGAAATTAGTCAACTGAATTAGTCAAATTGAATAGTGCAAATAAGGATCCATAAAAACTTGAATCTCAACAAGTAATTATCTTCAGTGTGTTTTTAAAAGCTGTCTGAACTTCAGCCCTTGTCTGGACTAGATTCTTTTATCTCAACATCTTTTTAACTCTAACTATACAATGAAGTGTCTTATCACTGCAGAGTGAAATCTAAGAAAACAAACAGGATATGCAAGTAAAAAGATTCTTGATTCCTCTCTTTTTTCCATAAGAATATTTCAAGTTCCAATAAATTTAAAGAGGACACATAACCTGAACAGACATTCTGAACTTAAAAATTAAACTCAAGATGACTAATCATCCTATTGATTAAATAATGCCTACTTTGTTTAGGACAGACAATACTGTAAATCTTGTAGATAATTGTTCAGGAATTTATTTAATTTAACTGAATTTTGCTATTGCTCTTATTTTACTTATTCTCACTAATGAGAACAAAATCTGTTCAGTATATTTCTAAAAAAAAAAAATAAATGCACAATTCATTTAAAAATTTACTCACTTGAAAGCAGTCTTCTGCCACTTCAACATCATTTTGGGAGGGTGGATAACCTACACAGAAAGAAGAAAAAAAACCAAAGTAGACAAGGTTATTTTCTTTTTATTTACAGCTTACTGCTTCCAGTAGTCCATACATCTTTCAATATCCAGCTATGATGATATAAACATTCTTGTTTACCTTTTAAAACCTATTAATCAGTGTATTTCAAGTTGATTTAAGTAAGCATCATTCATTTCTACATTCTATATTTTATATACTGAGTATTCCTACCCACACTGCTCTCTCCTGTTCACACCCTTCCTGTGAAAGTATTTTCAAAGTGTCATCAGCAGTCAGAAGCAAGGGAGTATGTTCCTTTTAATGTAGCATTTTGAAAATTAAAGGCAGATACATTTGGTTGGCATGAATGCACACTGTGCTGTATTTTGCTATAAATCAGCAGAAATTGGAACTGTAACACCCTAAGAGAGAAAATTACTCTTGTGTTCTCTAATTATCTTGATATCAACACAATTCAAAAGAAGTCATTCTACTATGTCAAAAAGCATTTCCCTTCAGAAGTATGTTTCTCCCTTTGTTAATAGGACAAGTTAAATCCCTAACATTACTTTTTACAAGCCTGAAAGCGATGTTCTTTCAATTCAAGACACCTGTTCTCTTCCCTCCCTCTCACAACGCAGCAATACATTTATTGTATTTTCAGCTCAGAATCTAGGCTTGATGATGACATTAGTGAAGCTCTGGAAGCAGTTAGCCATATTACTATTTGAGCAAATTCTTCTACTGTTCCATAAATACCTGTCCTCAGAACTACACTGTCAGCTGTTAGTAAAAAAACAACCCTATTAACTGAAAGTATGTGCAGATAAAGAGAGAACTCAACAGGTTGGAAATCATTGAACTTCATAGCTTATCCTCTAAGAACAAAACAGCTGTAAAAAGCTTCTGAGAATAAGATCCAAGTGAGACAATATAACAGTGTAGCTTCCTTCACTTCTTCATGTCTAAAAGAATGAGGCAATGCTATATTATGTAAGGATATTTCAGGAAATTACCTTATTAGTGTCTCTAAAACAATTTAAGACACTTGGATGAATGGCACTTTAGAAATACCAGAAGTGCTATTAAAAACTGTTAATACTATAGATCAATCCATGTTCTTAAATACTGTCAGCACTGATGTTACATAAAGTGCTTTGACATCTCATTTAGTAAACACTCAATATCTCTCTGCCCCACCAAGACCTTCACCTGAAATATGTACCTTGAGAAATATCCTCTACTGCTCTCCGAATACCTCTATCAAATGCTCTTGCATCAGCAGGACTCTGAAATGTGAGGCCAAACTTTTTGTCATCAATCTTCCAGTGGTAAAAAGTAGGAGTAACTTTGTTGTAAACGAGGTCTTTCTTTAGTGTGCATTCCAAGACCACCTTCCAAAGAGAACAGAAGGAAAAGATATCAGTAACCAATATATCTGAGAACAAAAGGTAGTCATACATCATAAGAGCAGATAGAAATCTCTCTTTAAATTTCTTCCTGTTAGAAGGATGTAATTTAAACTTAATTTCCTTCATGGCCAAATTATTCACTATCAGTTGCTGATAAGGTGGTAGGGATTAAAACCACTATTCGTATACTAAGTCAATCTTTCCATTTGAAAATCTCACCAATAAAAGTATATCATACCTGCAACAAGCACTTCTGTCGGTACAAACTTGGTAGATATTCAGCAAATTAAACAGGCCACATCTCCTAAAAAACATTACTGTGCTGATACAAAATTTTACTGTATCACTGGGAATTTTATTTATATACTTATTCTATAAAATTTTTGAGCACTAGACTAACTTCATGCTGTTTTCAGGCCACATCAGATTTCTCCTACTAGAAAGGCTACTAGACAAGTGAAAATAAAACAAGACAATTGTTTTAAAAACTGTAACTAATAAAATCTAAATCTTCATGAATGTATTACTGCCTGCACCTAGACAATAATACATTTATGGCTCATGTTCAACTATAACAAAAATAGTAACTACGAATAATGAACAGATTTATTTGGCTACAAAATCTTTAAAGGTATACATGCACATTCAGTTATGAAGCAAAGTCAGTCTTCACACAGAATCATAGAATGGTTTGGGTTGGAAGGTACCTCAAATATCACTTAGTTCCAACTTCTCTGGACAACCTGTTCCAGTGCCTTACCACCCTCACAGTAAAGAATTTTTTCCTAATATCTAATCTAAATCTACCCTCTTTCCATTAGAAGCCATTCCCTCTTGTTGATGCTCTTGTAAATAGTCTCTCTTCATCTTCCTTGTAGTCTTCCTTTGTGTATCAAAAGGCCTCAACATTTCCCCACTTTAAGTAGTCTTGTTTTAAAAATATATTTGCATATTTACTTTACTGGCAAAAATTATTTTAAGCAACACTGTTACACTCTGAGTGTTTCCTGATTTTAAAAAAATCAAATGTGAACAATAAAGTATGGAGAGAGATGCGCTGATCTGCTCTTGTAGCGCTAGGTATAATAAAGCTTGCAAAAAGACAACCTATCTCTGTATTACTATTTGATGCTGAAAACCTACACTGACAGATGAATGAGAAATTTTAGTATTCTATTATTTCAACATTAATGTACTTTCAGAACGTTAATGTTTAGTTTTGTCACATATGCAGCTTTTTGAGAAAAAATACAAAATTCCTCACAGGACGCGGTAAAATTAATTTAATTATAAATATAACTGAGAAAAAAACCCTCACATTTTAAAAAAATATGTCTGTACTTAGGTCTGTACTTACATATTCCTCATGTTCCTCCTCTCCTTTCATATCTAATTATTACATAGACAAATAGGGTTTTTTTTTGCTCTTTATTATTTATTCTCCCTAGACCACACCAGTAATCATTGACTGCTGACTTTTACCTCTCTCTAGAAGGATGATGGTCTTTCTGAACGTATAAACTCTTTCAGCATTAAAATAATTTTTGTTACTCCACTTGGAATTCCCTAAATGGTCAACAATATGTAGGTAAAACTGCCTATAAGAAAACATAAAAAGGAATCTAACTATTTGCTGTCGGTGTGTAGGAAAAGGTGCTGCAGAAAGAAAAATGTCATGCTGCAGTTCTAAGGTGTGTTAAATGATCGTTCTTTGTTCCTTTGGATGATCTTAAACTTGCTTCTTCCTTAAAGGAGGAGTTAAAAATGAAGATTGCTCATATCAGTGCCTTTTCTAGGTCTGTGAGCTCTTTTGTGGGATGTCTAATACATTAACACCAACTGCTTTCATGCTATATTTTGTGTGCACTTTCATCCAAAACAACAAAAAGTACTGCAAGCCTGATTTTACAGCACCTCAATGAACATCTGGTCCCAAAGGAATTAATCTAGATTACTTTTTCCTGAAAATTCATACCTGGTGACAATTTTACCACTAGAGATAAATAACTGGATTAAAATTTTACTGAGTAGAAGTTATGATTTCCAAAGATACCCAAACCAAACCAGAAACCCCCCAAACTGACTCCCTCCAACCCAAAAAGCAACACTGGTACCACACACCCCCCATCTCCAGCCCCCACAACATTTTATATGACAAGATATCATTAACAAAACAAGCAAACATCCTATCCAACATTAACTGTTTTCAACTTAAGGAAATAACAAATTTGATGGGATAACGTGGGGAACAGAGCCTGGAAAAAACCAGACCTTTGCAGAGAACAGAGCAACTCATTAGAGGAGTGAGCTGTAACTCCAAAAACTGCCATTTCAACTGCCATGACAGCTAACAGCCAATCAGATGCTGCAGTCACAGTTTTTACCTTATAATGTATGTTTGTCTGTTGTTCTGTTGGTGTTGGGTTATAAAAAGGGGCTACGACCCCAATAAACTTGTCTCAGCTTCACCCCCGAGTCCATGCCTCAATACACCACAAAATGGCGCCCAATGTGAGGCATGAAAGAAAGTAGCTGTTTCTCTGGTGGTGTAGCTCAGCTGCACACAAGAAAAAAAGCACTGAAAGGAAGCAACGAAAAAGAGCTCTTAACTATCTTACGCTGGACGATAAGGTAAGCAGCTGAGAACGAAATGGGAACCCCTTTAATTAAACAGCAAGAAGCTGTATTGCAAGCCCTTGCTGAAATCCTTAAAAAATATGGGAAAACAGTAAAGGAAGAAAGTTGAGAACATCTCTTGTTGTGGACATCGAAAGCCAATCCCATGTTAAATAACAAACTTTATTAACAACATGGACGGTAGCTTTTAAGACTCTGCAAGCTCATGCCAGCTCCAGAGAGGAGCTGCAGAAGCAGAAGGAGCAGTGGAAGCCTGGAAAGGAGTATTAGGCAAGCATGGCATTGGAAACTGCAACGATAATGCCTTCTGCCAGAATTCTGTGCAGAGCAGCAGCTCACCATCACCAACACGATCTTTCAGCAGAAAAATAGTCTGAAGACAACCTGGATGCATCCTAGATCCAAGCATTGGCACCTCATCGATTATGTCTTGGTGCGACAGAGATGTTTGCGATGTTCATCATACCTGCATGATGCCTAGTGCAGAATGCCAAACAGACCGTCGACTTGTGCGCTGTAAACTTAACTTCAACCTTAAGTTCAAACCAAAAAGGGGTGGTATTCCAAGAAGGAGACTCCAAGTTAACGGTCTTCAATCAGCTACAAGGAGAGACAGCTTTCAGGCAAACCTTCAAATTAGGCTCGAAGATCATTCCATAGATTCCTCTCCTGAAACACTTTGGCAATATATTCAAATAGCATCCTGCAGTCCTCTGAAGAATCCTTAGGGTTCTCCTTCAAGAAGAACAAGGACTGGTTTGATGAAAACAATCAAGAGATCCAGGAATAGTTGAGGAAGAAGAGAACTGCTCACCAAGGACACCTTGCACTGCCATCCTGCCATGTAAGAAAAGCAGTCTTTTGTCTTGCATGCAGCAAGCTCCAACAGAAACTTTGTGACATCCAGAACAAGTGGTAGATCAATCTAGCTGAAAAAACTCAATTATGCGCAGATACAGGTGATCACAGAGGATTCTAAGAGGCCTTGAAAACAGCATATGGGCCTACATACCAGGTCCAAAGCCCCCCACTCAGCGCATATGGTCAGGTGCTTCGCACACATAAAATCTCCATTCTGAATCGTAGGTCTGAACACTTTCAGACTCTTTTCAGTACTAGCCATGTAATGCAAGACTCAGTAATTCAGTGCATTACACAGCAACCAGTGAAGAATGAATTGGACATTGTCCCTACTATGGGAGAAACTCTTAAGGCCATACAGCAGGTGAAAACTGGCAAGGCAGCTGGAGTTGATCGAATTCCACCTTAAGTCTGGAAACATGGGGGCCATGCAGCCCATACTAAATTTCACGAGTTTGTGGTGTGCTGTTGGGAACTAGGCGAACTACCATCAGACCTACGTTGCAGTCACCATCACCTTGTATAAGAAGAAAGGTATTAAATCAGACTGTTCAAATTACCGTGGTATTACTCTGCTCTCCATTGCTGGCAAAATCCTGGCAAGAATACTCTTGAACAGACTAATACCTGCTATGGCAGAAGAACTTCTACCTGAAAGCCAATATGGTTTCAGAGCCAACAGGAGTACCACAGACATGGTATTTGTTCTCAGACAACTGCAAGAGAAGTGTAGGGAACAGAACACAGGTCTCTATGTAACCTTTGTTGATCTCACCAAGGCTTTCAAAACTGTGAGCAGAAAAGGTCTATGGCAGATTTTGGAATGTTTAGGATGTCCCCCCAAGTTCCTTAAAATGATCATCTTACTTCGTGAGGATCAGCGCGGCCAAGTCACTTATGGCAACGCATTAATTACCAGATTGCTTCACTTCTACATATCTCTAACAGGCACACCATGACCAGCAAAACAAAGAAAACCCAACAACACCCCCCCCAGCCCAACTCCGCTTCCAAAAAAAAAAAAAGGAGGGGGGAGGGAAAAGAAGCAAGCAGCTAACCACAGCGAAGCACAGGTAACCTTGCAGTTTTTAACAACTACTTCAAGTCTTTCTTTAAATAAGTGATGTTGTCTTATAATGTAAACCAATTCGAGAGTATTTGTAACAGTTTTTCAAAAACAATTATGAGTTTTCCTTAGCAATGCCTAATTGCTTTGAGAACAGGGAATGTATGTATTATCTCCAACCTATAGAAATGTTATAATGATAAACATTAAGATCCACTTCTTCCTTGTTGTTTAATAACAAATTCACATTTTTGTTCTTTATTATTAATTTAGAAATCTCCACACACAGAAGGCACTCAAAAGGCGAATATTCCTCGAGGGGGATATTTGGGGCTGAACCCCCACACAGGTTCCCAAAGTTATTACAGCTGGAATAGATAACTTTGTTCCCCAAGATGAAAGACTCTTGGGTCAACCACTCACTCATATACCCCATAGCCTTAAGCTATATAAGGGGTATACGCGGTGGAACGGTCTCCTGACACACCCAAGGACTAGCCTAGTTGATCAGGATGCGTCAGTAACCAGGGCTGAGGCTGCCCTAACTGGCTCAGGTTGAGCACCCACACATGCTCGGGTCAGAAGCCTCCCTAACAGGCTCGGGTAGAGTCACCCAAACAGACTCAAGTAAAATATAATTTGGAGATTTCTCTTTTTATAATAGGAACATAAATTTTAAAGTTACCTGATTTCCCAAGTTCAATAAAAATCGTCTTACTCACTTTCTCATTTTTATATCAACTTTTACCCCAGGTTCAACTAAAAAATCTTCATTGTTAAATCCCATGAAAATTACAAATGGTGTCTTTATTATAAATAAGAAAGGGTGAGATGCTGGGGTTTGGAAGTTGTTAACTCACTTGTCTACCATTGGTTTCTGTGTTGCCATAGTTATTATATTGTCTCCTTGCACTGGCTAGCCAAATGGCCAATCCCATCCTGGCCCAGCAGCCCTTATAAGCTGCGGGAAATTTGAATAAAGTCTCTTCTTCGCTGCTGGATTCCCTGCGTGCTACGTGGTCTCTGTCTCCTGGCTTAAGTACCTCCGCCGCCTGTCCCTGCCACGAGGGATGGGCGGCGGGGGGGGTGATTCCAGCCCTGAAAACCTTCACAGAGCGGCCGGCAGTGACCCCCCAGAAACCCCTCAAACTGCAACACTTAAAATGATCATCTTACTTCATGAGGATCAGCACGGCCAAGTCAGTTATGGCAACGCACTTTCTGAGCCCTTTCTAATAACCAATGGTGTGAAACAAGGCTGTGTTCTTGCCCCAACCCTATTCACAATCTTTTTCAGCATGATGCTCCAAAGGGCCATGGCAGACCTCGATGAAGAAGACGGTATTTACATTCAATATTGTACCGATGGAAACCTATTCAACCTGACGACTGAAGGCCCAGACTAAGAGCTTAAATCATCTTCTCTGGGAGCTGCTTTATGCTGATGATGCCGCCCTTGTCGCCCACACAGAAGTAGCTCTGCAGCGTTTAACATCCCGCTTTGCTGAGGCTGCTGAGCTTTTTGGGCTGGAAGTCAGCTTAAAGAAGACATAAGTTTTCTATCAACCTGCACCTCAGGAAATCTTCTGTCATCCCCATATCACCATTGGCCAATCAGAGCTCAAATCAGTCCAGCAGTTTAATTACCTAGGTAGCCTCATCTCCTTGGATGGTAAGATTGATGGGGAGATAGACAACAGGTTAGCAAAGGGATATAGAGCTTTTGGAAAACTCCATAAAAGAGTCTGGTGAAATAAACACTTGAAGAAAAGTACAAAGATCAGTGTTTACAGAGCCATTCTGCTGTCCACTCTTTTATATGGATCCGAATCATGGGTCATCTACCGCCACCACCTGCATCTCCTAGAACGCTTCCATCAACGCTGCCTCCATACAATCCTAAACATCCACTGGTCAGATTATGTGACTAATACATCTGTTCTAGAACAAGCAGCAGCCACAAGTATTGAGGCCATGTTGTTGAGAACACAGCTGTGTTGGGCAGGACACGTCTCAAGTAAGAAGGACTACCGCCTCCCTAAGATCCTGCTTTATGGTGAACTTGCCACCGGCTGCCACAAGAGAGGAGCCCCAAAGAGAAGATACAAGGACTCCCTGAAACAACATCTCAACCTTGGCCATATTGATCAGCATAACTGGTCTACTCTGGCCTCCAATCGGGAGGTCTGGAGACACACCATCTATAACGCTGCTGCTTCTTTTGAGAAAACACACAGGATCACTCTCGAGGAGAAAAGACAACACACAAAGAATCGTGTCTTGCTGATACCATCCAAGGAGTCTTTCTGCTGTGCCTTTTGTAACCGGACTTGTCTATCTCGCATTGGCCTCTTTAGTCACCAGCACACTTGTAGTAAATGTGGGTAGAGTCCTTCCCAAATCTTCGTTCGCGGAGCCTAGCCATGATGATGACTACATGTATTGAAATGTTTACAATGTTTACGATGTTTACAATTGAACAAGTTTTCTTAAAAAATAATAAAAAAGGGGGATTTGTGGGAAACAGGGTCTGAAAAAAACCCAGATCGTGGCAGAGAACAGAGTAACTCATTACAGGAGTGAGCTGTAAGTCCAAAACCTGCCGTTTCAACTGCCATGACAGCTAGCAGCCAATCAGATGCTGCAGTCACAGTTTTTACCTTATAAGGTATGTTTGTCTGTTGGTGTTGGGTTATAAAAGGGGCTACGACCCCAACAAACTTGTCTCAGCTTCACCCCCCTGAGTCTGTGCCTCAATACACCACAGGATGACAGTGATTTTTCACATCTAAAGCTGCATGAAGTTAACACAATAGATACAAGTGAAAGGGTACGGAAAAGGGAAAAATCTGTTGCACCAAAATTGTAATTGACATAAAAATTGACATGTTATCAGATAGAAGAATCCATATAAGCAAGACTTCATACCTGCCTCAGCTGAGAGAAAACTCAAAAACTGTAGGTCAAACATCAAGATGATCTAAGGTTTGTATTACAGTTCATCAAAATCAATCTTTTCTCAAACTTTAAAGCCAATTTAAAAAGTAATTTAAAAAGTAAACAATTAAGTTTTTAAACAGCAGATTTTTAGACAAGAATGGTATTTATATTTAGTTTTAGCTTTGTATCTCTCCCTTTACACAACTACCTGTTCTTCAAAGGAAAGATTTTAAACTTTGTCATTCCTGACTCATGATCCAAAAGATACTAGTACTTTCTTTTTTTTCTTCTCTCCTTCAGTAAAAACTTGCATGGCAAAGGACTGGAGCAGAAAACAGAAGTCTACCAGACTTTTCATTCAAGAATGTAAAATTCACCAAAGCCTAAAAACCTGTAAGTTTGAGCCCAACATATGTTTAACACTAGTGCTATTAAGATAGAAGAGAGCCACTGTAAACACAGTAAGTGAGAGCAGGAGACCTGACAAGGTTGGGATGGAGTGCAATTGTTCCAAGCAGACTGGCTGGAACCAGATCTAGGAAGGTGAGTACAATAAAGTAGGAAATGTGTAATTATGTAAATAAAGGCTTCACGAAATACCCTTACATTCCAACACGGATCTAAACAACCTGATCAAATTAGCAGGGAACATTCTTTCTCATTAATTAAATGCAATGGTGCCACCACTTTGATTTTCTTCCCAGATAAATAAGATGCTTTTTGGGAATGCCACAAGATGTTTTAAATAGCTCTGTACTGCACAAAAAGTTTGGACGTTCTACATGTAGTCTGAAGCTCATTCACAAAAGGGCTCATAGCAACCTAACTCTCAGGTATATAAAGAAACAATGAGAACCCTCTCCAACAAGGAACTTCAATATTTTGAAGTTCAGTCCAGAAGTATTTCATTTATACAGCTGACTTACAGACGGAGAACTACACTCCTAATTAAATGCCTGCATAGCCTATAAAATATATGGAAATATCTGGCACATTGGAATGGAACTGCAGTGTAGTGTCAGAAGCAGCACCTGGAGAAGCAGGAACTAAAGCTAGTTCATTCCTTTTCAGCACAAGCATTCAAAAGGTATCTGGAAAATACGTCCATCAAACACCTCACCTGTGGATTTCGAGTTGCTTTGGAATGAATTCCACCTTTCTATTGACACATAGGTTAAACAGTTACACTGGCATTATGATTCCCATGTATCTTAGGTAAAAGCCTGAATTCCATTTGCTCTGTAACCTCAGGTATTTCAAAACCTATGCTTCCCTGTGTCCCAGAAAAGTGCTCCAAGTTCTACACTCTAGGTTTTCCAGTTCCCAAAAGAAAAGACTTACTGGCTAGAGGAAATCAAAATATAATCTAGTTTGGAAGATATTTTAACAATATACAATGTGACTTGGGGGGAACTTCATTTGTAAAGATGACTTTCTTTTATAATCCACATAAGTATTTTCAGAAACAGCTGTATGTACCTTGCAAAGAAGTGAGTGAACTGAAAACCATGGTCCAGGTGACTAAGCTGTAATGACTTCTAGTTATTACAATAGATTAAACATTCCTGAATGTTTAAGTGTTCTAAGTCTGAATAACTGATGTGTTCAAAATGGTTTACGAAGTTGTTTAAAAAAAAAATATTGTTACTTTCTCTTCACAAATACAATGGCAGAGCAACCAACTAAACAGTGATATGATAACTTCAAAGATTATTCAGGCATACAGGTTTACCAAGGGCATTCTAAAATGAGATTAGAGTGATAATGGAGTACAGAAACAGCAGATTCAGTATAACAGTTCTTCAAAATCTCAAGGTGATCACAGTATTTGGTCTCTAATCCATAGCAAATACAATAACAACTTCCATTTTTATTTTATTTTTAAATAAAAAATAAAATGTATCATTATTATGAAATATAATAGCCAACTGTCAATTCTATTTGGACTAAAAACTCAATTGTTTGGCTTTACTAAGGAAAAGGTTAAAAAATGTGCTTTTACAGTGACTCCACAGGAATATCCTAAGAACAAATGTAAAACCATTAACTATACTGCAAGCATAAGGATCAGAACAATTCTAGAATCAGTGACTAGATCCCTGTCCAACAGAGTTTGTCTTTCAGTCCCTGCTACCTACCGCCCTTCTGAATAAGCCTCACGACCTAAAGATGACCTTGCATATCTTGGTGTAGGATCTTGTTTCTTTTATGTTGAGAGAGGTCTTGTTGCATAACATACAACTTTGTTGTTAATTCATTACACATTAGCTGTTGCTTATAAGCACATTATCTGATGTCTGTGGAAATATGTGTACACATAGTGTCCTTTTACTCAGTTATCAAAGAATCTCTCGCTCTCCCAGTATTCTTCCCCACACACTAAATCCGTATTTGTTAGTTCTCTGAGCTTTTTATTCACTATACACTGGAGAGATGTTTTTCCTAGCTTCATTTCTTCTATCTTCTATCCTGTGTTTTTGAGGGGCTGATTTCCAACAGCAACTTCCTGAAACTGCAGCAAGATCACAATCTGCCCTGACAGACTAGCAGAGGTCACATTTGGGGGCAAGCAGGGGGAGGACAGATGGACACAGGATGGAACACACAAAAAACCCCCAAATCAAAACAAACTGTTCAAGACAATAAAGTTTTGGAAAATGTATTCACGCTAACATGAACTTGATTTTGGACAGGAAGAGGAGCAGAAACATTTAAAACCTTCTACCAGAAGTGGAAACAAAACAAGGCTTGCTCAGGGGAAACAGCAGAGTGCAAACAGATCAGGACACTGATGGCATGACATTTTCATATGCATGCAGGCGAAACATTAAACCAGCCTTCAGTTCTGAGCATTTTATTACCCTCAAATTCTTAAGGCAAGCTGTGAATGTTCCAAGTATTAAGAATTAAAAGAAAATTATCAAGTATCTCTAAATGCAATTAAGCTTCTCAAAAAACAGCCTCAATAAGGCTAAAAAAAAAGTTCTAAGGGGAACTACTGCAAAGTGAGGAAGGAACTGCAGGTGCACATAGCTGTGCGGGAACACAGGGTACTCTGCTAATAGCACTACGCCTCGCTGAAACAACTGAGTCAGCAGAATTTCTATTTATATGCTCTCTTCCTACAATAGTCACAGCCAAGGCAGGAAACTCAGCAGCCCTGCTTCAAGGGAGAAACTGGTATGCTTGAGAAAGGATCAGCAATATGGTGTAAGGTAATTCTACCTTTTAAGCTAATACAGGAGTCAAAATCCATTGGTAGAAAACAATTAGTTCTTGATGAAAGTCATTAAGATGGAGCTTTTGTGCCTTCTCTATGTCTCTTTGTTTCCACAATAAGACACAGCCTCATTCAGAAACCTATTTGGTACACAAGTATCCAAGCAATTCTTAGTAAGCCCATTTTGTCTTCCATAGGTCTGCATGTGGAAATGGCTCAGATTCTACACCAGTTTTCCTTTTGTGAGGCTGATATTCATGATGCTACTTAAGACACATTTATTGGTGGGATTTTATTTTAGGTAGCTGAGGAATGAATACTGTCTGTGTGTTCACCAAAACAGAGCAATTCTTGGACCTGTTTGCTTAAGCTCTCTTACAATACAAAGTTGTTCTCATGTCAAATGGCTACTTTCTGTCATAGTCAAATTCCACAACCAGCCAAACCATTACTGAGGAATTCCTTCTGATTTCATGTTCTTAAGAAATGATCTCATTTCCGACACTCATATTATGTAGTATCACTGGTATATAAACAAGATAACAAGACTTAACACTCCACTGGGAAAAAAAAAATACCAAAATGTTTCCCCAAATGAGTGGAAATCTGCAATGAAAAAAATACGTAAAGTTTCTAAAAGATCAATGTGCTTAAGCATGGCGTTACACCTAAAACAAACAATTGGTCTTTAGGTATATAATCACTGACACAAAAAAGCTCATCAACAGCATGAGTCTGAGACTATAAATTTACTTTCTAGTCTACAGGTAACAATAAGCAAGCATCTATACTTATGTCCCATGTAGTTTTAATATCACAGAATACGCTGAGTTGTAAGGGACCATGTCCAGCCCTTAGCCCTGCACAGGACCATCCCCAGGAGTCACACCATGTGCCTGAGAGTATCATCCAAAAGCTTTTTGAACTCTGTCAGGCTTGGTGCTGTGACCACTTCCCGGGGGAGCCTGTTCCAGTGCCCAACCACCCTCTTGGATGAAGAACCTTTTTCTAATATCCACCCTAAACCTCCACCGACAACTGTGATCATTAAATGGATGCAAATTGTTACCGTTTTATCCCTGAGTCGTTCTCCATGGATAAGAAAATCAGCACAGCTATTCTCTTCCTGGGGAATGACTTTGAAGACTGTGACACAGCTTAGTCCACCCCCTCCAAGTGGTAACCATCCACCACTTGAGTCATCCCGGGTCATCACCACAGCTCGCACTCGTGCATAACTATTACTGAAAGAGAGGCAAAAGAAGAAATTAGTTTTCCAAAAACAGAAACCAGCGAAGTCTAGTTAAAAACAAAACAAAACAACAAACCCATAACCAAGGTCACAATAATTAACACTGTCTTTCCACAACTGTCATCCTAGAAGAAACCCATAGACCACACTCTAAAAAATGTTCCTCTGTACTTTTATGACTTCATTAGGACTTTTTGGAGCTTACATGTAATTTCTTGTAAAGAAACTTAACCAGAGAATATAGTTCCCAAGTCAAAACTGATATCCTTCTAAAAACTTCAGTCAGTAATCTAGCTAGAGGGTCAGGAAGAGAGTAAGAATCAACTCCCGATTTATTTTAGACTAATCATGAAGCCAGTCAGTCACCATGAAATTGCATAGAAAAGAGAACAAGAAAGCAGAAAGAGGTCAGGCCTTCTGTCACTGAAATCTAAACACGAACAGGCTTCTAGCCAGAAAACCCTGCTTCCCTTCATCCATCCCTCCTCCCCACACACATAACCTGTCCTTTGCAAGGGTAGGTCGGGACATGCCCATTGTGGGGTTCAACAACAGAACCAGTTACAGACACTTAAAATCACTATTTGCAGTATCTACTAGCTGGTTCTCTCCTGTAGTGAAAGCATTTCACAACTGAACAGCTTTTTCCCATCATTTAACATTTTTATAAAATACACAAATGATTATCAGGTCATTACTTAGGAGCCAAATCGCTTTTTCAGAAAGGAAAAAGAGGTTTTGGTGATCTCTCTCTCTCTCTCCTTTTATTTCTTCCTTTTAAATTAAATAACAAGTTTTAATTTTGATTATGAATTTGCCAGTATATCAGCTGGAAAACCCCATGGTTTACCAAGGATGTTATAAGATCCTATATTCGAAGTATGGTTTACTGCGTGAATGTAACAGTTGATGAATGAATATTCAAACACCTTAAATATGATTCATGTTATCTTTTGCAACATATTCTGGATTGAGGGTTTAAGTACTTATGCCAGCTGGCATTAGTGATGTCGAATTTAAGGGCTGAAAAGGAAATATTAGAAGAGGACAAAGTTATTCCTTCTGTACAAAATTACTTGTGATAAAACCATTCACCAAGCTACTGTACTTTTAAAAGATCACTGCTTTATTTTTTCCCCCAACTATACTAAAATAACCAAGGTAGGCTTTTTTGTGTAATTAATATATTACATTCTCACACACACATATGATTCACACATATGATTCATTTGTGTGTGTGTGTGTATATATATATGTATATAAAAAGGAATTCTGCTGCAAGCATCTAAGCTTAAATACATAATGGTTTTCAAAACTGAAAATAAAACAAGATTATAAATCTTTAGCTTACAGGCAGCTGAATTTATTAATAGATTTTGTTTGCCCCCTCCAAGCAAATCCCAGCCCCCTCCTCTCTCTAAAAATCACAGTTAAAATGACAGTTCAGTCAGTGTTTCTCACCATTTCTGTACCAACTTACTTCAGTAACTACTGAAACACAGCAGACAAATATCATGAAGAAAAATCCAATCCTTCTTTGTATGCATCTATCGCAATTCTAATATCAGCAAACAAAAATGGCTACATCTTGATGCTTAATCCTGTTACTGAAAGTTGAATCATTCATTCATTGGTCTCTATCACCCTATTCACTCCAATACAGGTTCAAACTGTAGTTGTACACTTCAGACACAGGTAGTCTTTCGTCTCATTTCTCTCAGAAGAGCCTCTTCTGACAGAAACTGAGGACACGGGGACTTTTCTCTGAAAAAGTAAGAAACAGGATGCACCAACTGGTTAAGCCTACACACTGTTTTTGCTATTGTCCATTTAAGTGAAACACAAATTTAGCTCTGAAGTTATTAATTCTATAAATTTGGTTGTAAATCTGAATATTAGAGCTTTCTTTTGTATATCAACAGACTGCAGCAAGAGTTAAACATTATTTAGGGATATCACAGAACTTCCCTTAGGTTACATAAGAAAACTTAAACTATAACATATTAATTTTTCCTAAAATGAAACTTTACACTCCACATTAATTTTCTTTCCAAGAATTGCTAAGAAGATGTAAAGATGGAGGTTTCTTTATCATACCCTGTCAGTGTTGGGGTTTTCCCCCCCTCCCTATACTGAGATGTCTAGTCTAATTAACAATCTTGTGTTTTGCTTCCCATATATTCCAAGTGGTTTTAAACATTTATGCTTTCAAATATTTTGGAAATGGCTACCAAATCCACTGCATTAGTGCAAGAGCCAAAATAAAATTCCCCAACAGGTAATATTTAATGAATAACCTCTTAAATTGAAATAGTTTTTCCATACAACCTCCCTGTAAATTAAATAGATAAATTCATTACTTTACTTGCAACAATGCCAAAGACTACAAAGAGATTTTTTAGTTTTTTAGTTTCTGTTGGTGGCTGTTTTTTAACATTATTTTTTATATTTGAATGGAACTTACAATTGGTAACAAATGCTATTTTTAGTGACAATACAACTGGTTTGCAATTAGTCAAAATGCAGTGGCAGGACTTATAAATGATTTCCATTTCCAAAATCCTCTGTAAACAAAACAGCATCTGCCCGTCTCACTACTGGTGTCACCAAAAGCACTCAGATGTCTTTTATCTGTAAGTACTATAACCCCACCTACTCCTGGGAACTTCACAACAAATTGCTAAACTGCTGGTCTAGCTTAGCTGTGGGAAAAAGGGCAGACAAGGCTCCAGTGTTTTGCTAACACAGTCTAACGTTTTTACTTCCTCCTGCATGTTTAGTAGCTCTATCAGGAATACCTGAACAAAAGAAAAACCAAAAAAACAGGGCAATCAGTTGAGCATTGCTCTTATGAAGCCTTTTACCGGAGCTACCACGAACATGGGAAATGGAGCATGAAGAGCAGCATGCAACTGCAGGCCCAAACCTAGTGTACTGCAGCCAGCTTTTCCTGAGACTCCCTGATTTTGCTTGTGGTCACTTGCTCTTGAGGCAGAGCAAGGTTTACAGGAAATGGTATTCTGGCCATAGGAGGATGCTGCTTCCCAAAAGTCAGTGCTGAGCACCAGTGAAAAGTGGGGACAAGAATATCGTCCAAGATCAGTTCCTAACAACGAAGGAAACAGATCTTCTCTCTCATGTCCGAATGCCTCAGGTAAGGACGTAAGAGTACAGTATTCTGTGGTTACAGGAAGTTATAAATCGAGATAAAGGAGAAAAAGAAAAAAAAAAAAGTTATCTACAGTGTTTTTCCCCCTAGTAGTTAAGACTTACTGAACAGTACAGCATACGTTTGAATGCTAAACCTATTAAAACTTAAATAAGGCAATTGGAAGATAGCATACACATAGATAATATGTGTATAATATTGTATATATACTGTATATTGTATATATCTTATAAATGAAAATCCAGTTCTTGCCTGCCATCAAGTTGCAAATTTTTTTTTTTAGTACTATAAAGCTCCTATTGTTACCATCAAGAAACCTGGATGTGCAAGTGGAATTCTAAACTGAACCATAGGAGAAAATGACCCTCTTAGATTTGATAAAAATATGGTTTCTTTCAAAGCTGGAAAGCAGATTTGCAGAAAAGGACCTCAACTTTCATATGGATACCAAGCTGAACATAAGCCAAAAACATGCCCTGGGGACAAAGGAGGCCAACAATATCCCAGCTGCATTAGAAGTGCTGCCAGCAGGTCTCAGGAGGTGATCCCGCCCCTCTTCTCAGCACTAGTGAGGCCAGATCTGGAGAGCTGTGTCCAGTGTTGGGCTCCCAAATAATGAAAAACATGGAGCTCCCGGAGTGGGTCCAGCAGAGTGCAACAAAAATGATTAAGGGACTGAAGCATCTGTCATATGAGGGAAAGCTGAGGGAGCTGGGGCTGCTCAGCCTCAAGAAAAAAAGACTCGTGGGTATCTTATCAGTGTATACAAATACCTGAAGGGAGGGTGCAAAGAGGATGGAGACAGGCTCTTTTCAGAGGTGCCCAGTCAGAGGACCAGAGGCAACGGGCACAAACTGAAACACAGGAGGTTCCATTTGAACATCAGCAACCACTTTTTCACTGCGAGGATGCCTGAGCACTGGCCAGGTTGTCCAGAGAAGTTGTGGTGTCTCCATACTTGGAGAGTTTCAAAAGATATCTGGACAGAGTCCTGGGTAATCTGCTTTAGGAGGCCCTTCCTTGAGCAGCAGGTGTGGACAAGATGAACTCCAGAGGTGCCTTCCAAGATCAATTATTATTTTGTTTTTTAAATTTAATATCATATTTCAAAGCACAGCAATTTCAATAAAATACAATTTCATAAATATAACCAATATGGGTTAATTTATGAGAATTCATGATACTTCGAAGCAAGAGTTGTCACTGCGCACAACTGCTATTTAAACACTTCTGACAAGGGGGAAAAAAAAAAGGTGTTCTGAAAAATCGTGACACACTCTGCTATGAGATTACACTATCTTTGCTGGCATGCAAGTAACAGCTCCAGGCTGATCTGCAAATGTGAAACGGTCATGGATCAAGGTTCTTTACCTTTGACTGGCACTTTACACACGTACTTTAACCCTTCCAACTTCTGGTGCAATATCCTTCTGTGTTTGTAGCCTTACCCAAAGAGCATACATGAATCACACTTGGCTTTTTATGGTTCTTATTATCCAAAAAGCTTAGCAGAAGATTTATGATTCTCAGCTAGAGAAGTGCTCAGGAGTACATAATACCAAACCATTTAGCTAAAGTCTGTTTTACTTGCAGATAGCCTTTTTTGAGTATTGACTCAATTTAGAAAAACAAAATAATGTCACCAGTATCACATGAGTGTATCAGTGCACCGCTGATGTTATAAACCCCTTGTTACTAAAGGTTTAGAGAATGAGTGCCACCAGCACAAAACATTAATGACTTGGCTAAAGCAAAAGAGATGCAAATATAACACAAGTACTAAAGAAGACATATTTTACATCAAGAAAACATATGACAGCACATATTTTTTAACAAAGAGGAAATTGCTGTAATAGCAGCTACGTGAGGCTCTGCCTAACGTGACTATTACCTTTCTCCTCTCAAAATTATACCAGCAAATCAGAGTATACACCAAACTCTTACACTGGTAGAACTCAAAACTTGGCAGATTTTCTCCTTTAAAAAAAGAGGCAAAAGGTACTCTTCAGAGTAAACAGCAACCATACATGGCCACTATGCCTAGGAAGTTTATTTCTGTGAGGAGTTTAGCAAGCAAAGACAAGTATTTCCAGGGAGAATTACATACAAGTGCTGTTACATTTAGGATATTGATACCTACACTGATTTACTGAAGAGCTTTGGATTTTGCCAAAAAACCGGAATGAAGCATTACTGCTCAAACAAAAAAAAACAACCCCAAACCGAAAATAACAACAGCAACAAAAAAAATCTTACAGAAACCTGAACTACCAAGCAAAATGGCTTGAAACCAAAGTCATAAAAGGGAAAAGCTACATGGGAAACTGTATTACATAAGGAGGGGATAACTGGTATCCTGAAAGAGCCTGAAGTACATGATTACAATTATTATTTAGCAGAAGAGGCTTATTAAATAAGGGATTAGACAGTGTACCTACAATTCAAAAGGGAAAATGAGATACAAATGAACAAGTGTCCAGAACAGGAAACTGTCAGAACAGTATACTGCTCTCATGAAGTATTCTCTTGGACACAACATCAGAATAAAAAAAAAATAAAATTAAAAAATAGGAATGGAGCTCTAATGCTCCTATTTTAATACAGACAATTTAAGATTTGTGACCATGTAAAGTAATCAATGCTGCAAGGAAGAATGGCTACTGCTGTAAGCACTTTTGCAAAGCACAAGAGGACATGAAGAATGGAGAAGCTGTTAAGATGATCTGAAAACCATCAAAATTACATACAAAGTAGGTATTTGACATTTCTGTGAACAACATTTTAGCTCTGCTCCCCAGCATCTTTTCTTGTTTAATAATTGTAGCTAGTTTCTGTTAGTTCTGTATGTTATCGATGAGCGTGTGTTAAATGAAGTAATATTTTAGCAGACTAAAGATGACAACGCATATTTGGATTCCATCTCTTTTAGAGAAACTGCAGTTTTCCTAATAGAATGGATTCTGTAACACCATCTGGTGTTACAGAAAATGGCATCTGATATAAAATACAAAATCAAATAAAAAACCCAAACAATCTTATTTTTCTTTCTACCCTTCCCCACAGAAGTTAAAAAGAATCAAAGTAACATTTAAAGATTGGTCTACAGGTTTTGGACATGTATAGCAGAACCACATAAATAGCATACTTCCCACAGCTGCTTGCTTTACAACAGAGGACTGCTGATATGAAGGACTCCTGGATTAAATTCCATCCAATTTTAGACAGATAACTTATAAATAATTTGAGTACTCAGATCCTGGTACTCCTGTGCCCCCCAAGTTTAATGGGCTTCCTCCAGAAAACCCTGATTTTGTCTCATTTTTAAAAGCTGACAGCCATAAGTTTCTTACCAAGCTCTTGGGTACTGATGCCATATATTAATTTTGATTTGCTTACCATGGAAACACATAGACAAAGATGAAAGAGTCCAGAAATAAAACAAGAGAAAGAGGTTAAAAGGCTTAGGATTTTTTTTTCTTAGATAAGTTAACATTTCTTTCCAACCTTGCAAAAACAAAGGAATGTCTAAAGAATCCATGGAAGACGAGCTTTTCATTTTCTCCAGTTCTTCAGTAAACTTAAGACAAGCACAAGTCTGCAGCCTAAGGCAGATTCCACTGCAACTAAGACAACTTGACACTTCCAGTAAATGTCGTCAGACAACATCCATCCAGCTTAGAAAGAATTTTTTTTAAATGAAGCTTACAGATTCAGTTGTGCTTTTTATTTTCCTGGGAACAGCAGTGATTACTACAGTTTAGAATAACATAAATTATGGAAAGTTTTTCAGGTAATAGTTGTATCTGAACAGGTCAGAATTCTCTCTTCTCTCAGAGACATTCTCCTCCAGCCTTACATGCTCACAAAGTCCAAGTATCAAGTATGCAAGTACAATTAGATTCCCCTCATAGTCAAAGCCATTGGTCATCTAGTCATTGAGATTACAGATGGCAGCACTGGAGACCCCATTAACAGGAGATGAGAACACATTAATCAACAAGTCATTTTGTAATAAAGTTCTTGGCCACTAAGACAAGATGAAGGTAACTAACACATTCCTTAGCTACTCTAAAGTACAACAGGCTGTACTGAATATTTTATTTTCAAAAGGCATCTGTGTACATTCTATTTCACTGCTTGTTGTATTTAGGAATAGTACCTCACAAATTTCCAGAAAGCTATTATTTTCCTCCTAACACACCTAAGAATTTAATTAGCAAAAATAAAGGACAAACCTGTTATACTTTATCTAACACACCAGAAACATTGTCATGGATTTTTCTATTTACTATGTCTGAATTTGTCAGTTTATGCTGGATGATACACTCTTTGGGACAGGGACCATCAGTAATGAGCGTAATTCAATACAGACCCGAGTGCACGTTGGTATACAGAGCTTAGATGGTGGCTGCTACATACTCTTGATATTTTGGCAATACATTATGGAAGAAAAAATCACCAGGCCCATTGACCTTACTCACCTAAAACAACACTTGATATCAGGCAGTAAAGCACAAAATTTAAATTTATTCTTAGCACATTAAAAGAAATTTATGAAAGGTCCAGATCATTCCTGGCAGGCATTTCTCACTCAGCCTGCACAGAAAAGGAACAGAATCTGGAACCAAATAAAGCATATCCACACTTATAAAAATAATCTTCCTTTAACAGCCTTGCTGAGATGTGAGATTGCTAATGAATGTTGTATACAAACAACATTCATGTATTTTAAAACTATGTGAATTGAAACTGTAGTATCATTCATTGATATTGTTAAATCTAAAGCTTGTCTCAACAGTTACACTGACCTGGTTTTTTAAGGACTTTAACCAGCCAATATGAAAGCATTTTAAAGTAAATGCTTTCTTATATTCTAAGAAAATCCTAGTGCCAAATTCCCCCTTTTAACACAGTAAGAAAACAGTAAACATCCAAAAGGATGTTTTGAATGCACGAACAGACAAATCGTGTGTCTGCACTAACAAAACAAAAAGACTACATGTGAAACTGCAAAATGCTTAACAAATAACACCAAAATCAGAGTAACAAAGGAAGTCTGAACGAGCCTTAAGAAAAATAAGCTCGTAAACCTACAAATGTATTCTAAAGGTGTATCTTCACTGACCGAAAGGAAGCTACTATTCCCTAGTTATGCAGCGCCACACTTTGTGGTTTGAGTCAGTCTTTTCTGTAGTTTTAAGAAACCATGAATATTTGGGAGAGAGGAAATAAAATGAAACAGACAAGTGAAAAACAAATGCAAAGATTTCTATTACAATAATCCATCAAACGATTAATAAGATTATACAAAATGTTTTGATAGTAGGGTTTTAATATTTGCCATATGTCAGCGTGAATAACGTGACTTATATAGCCAATATATAATTGTATGATCTATGTTTGATAATCTCAGTAATAATTAGAGCCTAACAAGCAGTCTTAAGCATAGAAACAGGTGATTCACAAGGCCTAGAGTCAGAACATATGGATACTAATAGTGTATTAAAAAACGGTAGAGCTAAGCCTTTGTTTACTACATTCCCCACGGCAACTACTACTACAGTAATACTTTTCACAAGTTTCTGCAAAAAACTGCATGTAATTAATACACGGGTCATGCATGAACATAACACAGAGCGAAATAGCACACTAAAAGGCCTCTCAGTTCAAAATGAGGATTATTTAAGTTCTATTATTTGCTGCTATTCCAGAAGAAAAGTTTAGAAAATTGTAACCAGCTGCAAAGAAAAAGGATAAAAAGTACACATGCATTCCCCTCCCCACCAAATATGTAATAGACCAAAATAAGAACACATTCACACTTTATAAATGATAGCTAGTCATGAGAACACATACAATAACCACTGAACCTCTCACTCTACTCAGCAACTGAAAAGGGATCCACCAAATACAGCTTCCTTGTTTTTGCAACAACACAATCTTAAACAAAGGGTTACAGCAGGGAGATAATGAGATAATTTAGTGTTATAATTATGTCTCGTTGTTTCCTGTTTGGACTTTTAAAACCATTAATACCATCAGAAGAGCAACAGCCTTAAACTGATGGAGGGCAAGTTTAGGTTAGACATTAGGGAGAAGTTCTTTACTAGGAGGGTGGTGAGGCACTGGAACAGGTTGCCCAGAAAAGTGGTGAATGGTCCATCCCTGGAAGTGTTCAAGGCCAGCTTGGATGGCGATTTGAGCCCTGGTCTAGTGGAAGATGTCCCTGCCCATGGCAGGGGGCTGGAACTAGATGATCTCTGAGGTCCCTTCTAATGCAAATAATTCCATGATTCTGTGATAAATTATGGGTTTAGGGTGGAACTTCACCACAAGGAAGTTCTGAAAAGGGAGACTGGAGACAGCTAAGTTGAACTGTTCAAAATATATTAAAGTACCAAGAATCCAAGTCAAACAAGATGCAAGCTCAAAATGGTTTTTAGACAGTAGAATCCAAGACAGAGTGAAAGAAAGGTCTTTTAGCTTCAGTCAACCTATGAGACAAAAATGTCATGAAGGAACAACTCTACAGTTTTTTTTTTGGTGCAGCTCTGACATCTACGTTGTACAGCTTTACTGAACAAAAATGAATGCTATCCACTGTAAAAATGTTTTAAATGGCTATTTGCCATTTCTATTACACAAAATAGTACATAATAAAATACCTAGATTAAAGTATGAAATTGAAAAATCTTACTAAGTTGATGTGATATACATTAAACCATTCCAGAAATGTTTGTGTTCTTGTATTTAACAGCACTGGAAATGAATCCTGACTGCATAACTGAAGAAACAGAACCAGAAAAATAAATATCTCTGCTTACAGAGACAGAGGAGACCATTACCGATTCAATAAATATAAGGAGAAATTAAACTGGTAGAATGAACAAACGGGTGTAGATGGAGAAGGTAAAACTTAAGAAACTTAATTAGGCTGTTTCGTTTGTACTTTGTGTTTTATTATACACTTTTTCTCTTATTCCAGCAACAGAAGGATCTTATCTACTCATATTCCAAGCACAGGGTCTACTATTAAAACAGTGAGAACTACAAATAATTTTCCCTTTTTATAAATAGCAATGAATTTTGAGTACTCTTATCTGCAAGGATACTGTTCAAGTAATCCAAATAAGCGAGGAGAAGTCGTTAACTGTTTTATTAGCTGAAGAAAAGCAATCAGCATTTTATTATACATCCTGAAAAGCAAGGTCAAAAGACCAAGAGCATATTACAAGTAACTGCTTTAGTGGTGCTAACAGACAATCTCTAATTTATCAGCCAAATTTTTCACTATTTAGGAATTTAAGTCTCAAGTACCAGCTGTATCATAGAAGTCCATCTGACAGAATTCTGTAGACTTTGTTCAAAACCCAACATTGGGAATGCATTCATCACATATGAGCTTTACATATAGGAGGTACAGTAGTGTTTTTCAGGACTCTACTTCTTTAATCTGGTCATTCAAATATCAAAAAGTTGTGTTGGGAGAGAAGAAAAAACATTCTCTAATGTTTTTTTTTCTCTAAGAAAAAACATTACATGCAGTAATTCTGAGACAGAATTCATTTGCCTGTGATTTTAATAATACTGTGAGGAATGGATAGAAGACTTTTTTAGTTCTTAATAATCGTAATAATAGAAGTGACAATTTGAGTTAAAGAATTCTAGCACTGTCACTCTGCAATTTTAGCTCACCCTTGTTTTCTTAAGCCTTGTGTTGACTGGGAAGCGTTGTGTGACCAGTACTCAACACAACCATCTAGCTGAGGCAGTTTCATAAAAGACTAAGTTAAAAAGTGATATTGACTATTCCACATAAAAAGCCGATTAAAAGAACCAAACCAAAACCAACAACAAAAAAACCCCACAAACCCAAGCCAAAAAGCAGCTGACAGTTGTTTCTTTAGGAAGCACAAAAAAGAAGAGATTGCCTAAGAATTATGTAAGGGGAAGAAGAGGGAGCTAAAAATGCCAGAACTCAAGTAACAAAAGTGAAGTAATAGATGTTTCAAAAGTCAGTGACATGAAAAGACTGGGGGGGAAATATGGTTTGCATAAATTCTTCCCTACCAAGTAAATAACATCATGGGGGAAAAAAAAAAAAGGAAGAAAAAGATAAGGAAAAAATCCCAATAAAATAAAACAAGGGATGCAGAAGGAATAGGAAAGCGAGAAGAAGCAGCATCTCCTTTTCCCAAAAAAGCAGCAGACACATGAGAAAAAACTGGGTGCCCTTCAGCAATGAGAGTCATAATCACAATGCATATCACTGTTTAACATGCAATTCTTATGCTATGGCTTTCTATAATACACTGATTTATCTGTTACCCTGGTTCTAAATAAAAATAAAAAATAGAAATTTCTCATTTTTAACTGATTAAGTAATTTCCAGCAAATACAAGTTATTGTATTACAATCAATATCATATTATCAGTTTTA